CCCCAAAACCCCAAAACCCCAAAACCCCAAAACCCCAAAACCCCATAGTATTTAAATATTTCAGAATTGAATTGTGATAATTTGAAATTTAAATTAAATACTCTAAAATGGAAGGAACAAATATGGATCCAAGCTCTAATGCTGCTTCTTAAAATCAACCTCAAAATTAAAGCTAGCCAGCATAGCAAAAGTCAAATATCATAACCAAGAGCATCCCTGTAAATATAATATATTCTCAATCATTCACAACTAGTAATCATATCTTTCATTGCAAATACTGATTGAATTTGAGAAAAATTTCATTATTTTCTGGGCTATTTTAACTCTAATATTCCTTTACTATAAGAGATATCTACTGATATATCCCACAGGCTACTTCGAATTAGAATTCGTGGGGATAGCCATAACTCTCTCAGTTCAATACTTCAGACTATTCTGTGGCAGTAGAGGAAATAAAAATGAAGCATCCCTTATAACATTTTTCTTTATCTTACTTTGCTTGCCATGTTTAATTGGTCACATATACTATGTTATTTTACAAACCTACGCGTAAGCCAATTATTGCTATTTAACTCTTTAGGCTTGCATTTGAAGTGATCATGGGCGTAATCATAGTTCTTTGTATTATTATTGAACTATTACTAGCATTCTTTGCATCTATCGATTTCAGAAGTTTAGAGAAGGCTCAATGAACAAGTGTGTTATAATTATTACTAAATTTTTCTAATTTTTTATGATTGCTTCAATAGCTTAGTATTAATTTTAAAAATTAGTCCATATTAATATATATCTAATTTTTTAATGGAGTAGAAAGATAATTGTAAATCTGATTCGTGTGGAGATCATCATTCACACTAAGAGCATCAGCCAGGTCCAATGGACGATCCTGAGGAGCAAGCTCATTTCAAATCAGTTGTTTCAGCTTTCTTCAATTATTCAGTAAGTACTACATTCATTATCAATTATTACATATCAGGTTGATGCAGTTAGAGATGTTGCAAGAATGGAAAGAGATTTTAGCAAGATCGATCCAAAGTATCTTAAATATCTACCAGCTGATTTCAGGAAGAGCAGACTTGAAAAGCTAAAGAAAGCTATTGTTACAAATTAGCAAGTTCTCAATTTGATAGTCTCAGATTACTAATAACTTTTTGAGTATGACAAACTACCAAATGGAATGGTGGCTTTAAAGCCTATGTTTATTAAACCAACCGATATAATAAAAATGAGATCAACTCTTAAGTCATTCTTGAGGGATTGGTCATCTGAGGTATAATTTAAATTACCATATTTTGTTACAGGGAAAAAGAGAAAGAGAAATGTGTTACGGCCCAATCATAAAGGAAATTAATGAATATTTCCCAGTTCCAGTAGATCCCTCAACAGGAGAAAGAAAGAGTGTTCTACATCCTGGGAGTGGATTAGGTAGACTAGTGTTTGACTTGGCTCTCCAAGGTTACAAATCATAAGGAAATGAATTTGCCTATTTCATGCTATTGACCTCTAATTTCATTTTGAATGTTACTTAATCTAAAGACTAATACGAGGTTTATCCATTTATACATCATTTTAGCAATTTAAAGACAGAGGATCAAGCGTTTTTGAAGGTTAAATTTCCCGATGTCTGCCCCAGTAAGGAATATATATTAAGCAATAACTAAAATTAGATGAAGCAATGACAATTGATAAGGAATATGATTTTAGTATGGTTGCTGGTGAATTTGTTGAAGTCTACTCCAAATAAGAGGGTATAATAAAAATGTTTATCAATTAATTTTAGCTTAATGGGATTGTGTGGTGACTTGCTTTTTCTTAGACACTGCACACAATGTGATAGAATATATTGAATGCATTCATAAGATATTAAAGAAGGGTGGATTATGGGTGAACATTGGCCCATTGCTTTATCATTATGCTGAACAACCAAATGAAATCTAATTAGAACTCTCATGGGAAGATATAGAAAAGATTATTCCTTAATTTGGCTTTGAATTCAGGAAGAAGTATTGGACTGACTGTGTTTATACGAACGACTCTCAATCTATGATGCAGATGACTTACAATTGTATATTCTTCTCTGCAGTTAAATAATGAGCAATCCAATGAGATAAAATTTGAATCAATCATTTAATCAAGCCAATTGAAACCTTAATTCAAGTTATTTCCTTTAATTTATTATTTTAGAATAGCATTCTTCCTCTCTAATGGGGTTTTGGGGTTTTGGGG